TTCTCCGTCCCTCTGTCTCTGCACGTTTGACCGGTCGTGTCAGCGCCTTGGCTTCGGCCGGTCCCTTCGTGGTCACCGCGGGCTGCCTGGGGCAGCCGGCCCCGGGCACCGGCCGTGGTCTTCCTTCCCCCGCTGCGGTGGACACAGCGCGATCCTGCCCCAAGCCCCGGCTTCCCCGCGCTGCCCTGCCCTGCCTGGTCCGTCCCCGGCACCTCGCGTCTCCGCTCCCCCAGCTTCCCTGTGTCCACTGGCCGGCGCTGTCCCCAGGGCCTGCGTGAGGTCCCGGAGCAGAACCTGCCGCCGGTGCCGCCGCGGCTCCCGGGCCGCCTGGCAGCCGGGTAAGGGCGAGAGAGGGGCTGTTCTGCACTCTGGACACATCTCGGAATAACGCGCCTGGGAAAGGGCCGTGGCCACGCAGCTCCCGCCCCCGCCCCGGACTCACCGGGAAGGGTGTGAGGGAGGCGGGCTGCGGGGCACCGGGCGCCTGCAGCACTTTCCAGCACTACCGAGTCTCCTTGGAGGGGAGACCATAGACAGCTCTTTGGGGTTCCTGAAGCCCGTGGGGCGGGGCCCCTTGGGGCAGGTCTTCTGTGGACACACGGGCCACCTGCCCCAGCCATGCTGGGCCAGTTCCGAGGAGCGGCCACTGCCCCGGGTCGCGGCAGGCAGCTGTCCCGAGGGCTGCCTCAGCTCAGGGCAGGCTGGGGGCATGGATGGGGCCCAGAAGAGGCGGCCGGGCCAGGCTGGGCGAGCCGCAGACCCAGAGCCCAGTGACTGGACGTGGCCTCGCTCCGGCTCTGCCCCAGGGGTCAGCCGAGACCTCTGCCTGGGCGCTGCTGGCTTAAGGCCTCCTGAGCAGGGCCAGGAGGTGAGCCGAGCCCTGGAAGGCTGGAGTGAGGGTGGGCCGAGCCCAGGTGGCCCCGAAGGGCAGCGTCCAGGCCACAGCAGCCGAGGCCAAGGCGCCCTGCGGCCCAGGAAGCTTCAAGGCCGGGGCCTGCTCCTGTAGGCACCTGCGCCTGCAGGCCAGGGAGGCACTGCTCTGGTCTCCAAGCCTCGGGTGCCCACGCCCTCTGCTTTCTGCTCTGCCAACTGCTGGTGGCCCCAGGGTGGAGGCGTGAGAAGGCCAGTGCCACCCCCACCCCGCGGGGCCCTGCCTGGCGGTCTGCTCCCCCACACTCTCCAGTTAGGGGTGTGTTTGTGCTTGGGAACGTGGGCTGAGGTTTCAGTATTCAGAGCTGGGGTGCAGGTCAGAGGAGCGGGGTGAGAGACGCCCCAGAGACGGTGGGGGGCAGACCGGGCGGGTCCACTGAAATACACTGCTGAGGGGGCACCCTGGGGTCACTCCCTGGCTGGGAGGCACTCGGGCCTCCGCGGTGGGCAGTCAGCCCGAGCACCAACTGGCCCTGGCGCCAGGGTGCGTGGCGCACGGGAGAGCCGAGGGCTGGTGGGGCCCTGGAGGTCGTAGTTGGTTTCTCGAGGAACGCCTGTGGGTGCCGAGTGGGCAGCCCGCGAGGCCAGCCCTGCCTGTGACCCTGCAGGGACATGCTGCTGTCCAGGCCGTGCTCCGCGCCCTGGCGACTGGCCCTCGTGGGCCTGGGGCGCCCGCCACCCGCCGCCCCCAGGCAGCTGTCGGGCAGCGCTGCGGACTCTGCCAAGCACCAGGCGCCCCCCCAAAAGAAGCTGCTCTCTGAGAAAAAGCTGGTGAGACCTGGCCCTGCCCCGTGGTGG